TAAGTGTTATAAAAGATGACAAGGTTGTGACACATACGGTTATAAAACATGACAAAGATAAGGCATGTACTAAGTGTTATAAAAGATGACAAGGTTGTGACACATACGGTTATAAAACATGACAAAGATAAGGCACACAATAAGTGTTATAAAAGATGACAAGGTTGTGACACATACGGTTATAATACATGACGAGAAAGTGACAGAAACTGTCATAAAACATGACATGACTTCTACGAATTTGTTGGGTTTTACTGTGAACATATGGTGCTAACATGATGTATACTAATTTGTGTGGTTTTACTGTGAACATAATATTATGGTGCTTACATGATGTATACTAATTTGTTGGGTTTTACTGTGAACATATGGTGTTATCATGATGTATACTTATTTGTGAAGTTTTGTTGTGTGGTTTTAATGTCATGGTGCTCAAATGATTTTATGCTTGTATTAACTTGTACGATTTTACTATGAAGACATTGCCAAAACCCTTTATGGAGGATGTAAGTTTTTGACACAGGGTTTCTTGCCTTGCTCTCCTCACACGACCAACTTGACACACCCTCCTTTCCCCACCCTCGTGTCACCAGTGTCTGGGATGTTCCTACCCTGAGGTCACTCTAGGTGTAGATCCAGTGAAACCCGGCTCTGCCATGTTGGGTGGTGTGGAGAGGGTGTCCAAGTCAACATGTAACATAAAAATGCCATGGTTGCCATGGTCACCAGGTTGTCAACATGTAAAATGGTCACCCTGGTGGTTGCTGGGCTCCAACCCACTCAGATCATATTCAATCACATATCTATTTATGCGTGCCAATTTTTTTACCATTAAGTTTTGATTTGGAGTTGTTTGCGAGTAATTTTGATTAAATTTGATTTTGGTTTTAATTTGATATTTTATTTTGCATGAAAATAGCTTATGTACCTTTGCTATACTTGTATTGCTCGACACATTTTGCATCAATTAAACACTGGTCACATACATATATATATAGAAACCCGAAATCACATTCTTTACCCATGTACTGCCCTACTGAACCATGTATAAGGCACAAATCACGTACATACCATATACTGCCCCATTGAACCAATTGTAAGGCCACATATCACATACATTGTACTTACTTAAAGGATTTTCTTTTTTAATCTGCTTTGGATTATCATCCTCTTGTAAAATATTTCTACCATCACTTTTAACATTATGTTACAAATAATCCAGACATAGCTCCTCTGTCAGATGGTCATCTGCTGTTGCATGACCATCTTGCTGTCTTGGTCATCTGTTGACCGTGATGCAGAACTTATCAGTTCATATGAATCAGTGCATTATATAAGGAGATACTGATCAGTAAAGACAGTTGCTAGCATGAAGGAGACCTGTTGGAAAATATCATTGACTTTTATGCCAGAGATTTATTTTGTTTCTATTTTAATAAGTACCATAATGTCATCATATTATTGTGAGATTTTGAAGTAATTTAACCATAATTATACAGGACTTCTATCATCTCTTCTACAACCTTCCTATGACTTACTAGCACGAAACAAAACAAGTCAAATGTATTACTGCAATATTAACTTAACGTTTACAAATTTGATAATGAAAAGGGAGCCATTACATCATTTATGAATTTGAAATATTAACCAACCTTTATTTGGTGTGTGTCTATATAAAACACTACAATTGGTTGATTAACTGTTTGATTTTTCCTCCAGATGAAGATGACAGCGGTGATGATGATGGAGAAGTTCCTGGCCGCTCCGCGATCAAGAAACAGTCACAATTTATTGTTGACTCAAAGACAAAACGACGAACCACAAAGAAGAAGAAGAAGATGAAATAATAAGTGTTCAAGATGGATATGGCCTGTGGATGACTGACATAGACAGACAACTACGGATACGAGTAAATTATACCAATACAGCTGTGTGTATACATCTGACTTATACTGAACACTTACGTCGGAAGAAGTACCTTCAACAGTACGGAATTATAACAGATATATTTTTGACTCCAAGACGAAACGACAAACGGGAAAGATAAGGTAGACATGACTTGTGGATGACTGACGGCAGATGACAACAGACACAACAATCTTATATAGATACAACTAATTTATACAGATACAACATACAACTAATTCATACAGATACAACATACAACTAATTTATACAGATACAACATACAACTAATTTATACAGATACAACAATCTTATATAGATACAACTAATTTATACAGGTAAAACTATCTTATACCGATACAACTGTGTCGATACAACAGACTTATACTGCATAACCTTATATAGGAACAAGTACCCCAACAGTACAAAGTTACAACAGATTTAATTATCATTGAAAAAAGAAGGCTGAAATAATAACTGCATACGAAAGACATGACTTGTGGATAACTGACAACTATGGATACACCTGAATTATACCAATACAACTAAATTGTATTGATACAATTAACTTATACCAGTACGAGTATGTGAATACAACTGCCTTATACTCCACACTTAGATAGGCAGACTTACCGACGACATCTTCGTTGTTCAGCATGTACTGGATTGTCAGCAATAACAACACTTTGGTTGCTGTGTACTGACTAGATACAGCTGGAGAAAACTGTCCAATAAAAGCCAAATTAGTGCTGTAGTTAATTGCCTTGTAATAGTGTGAGAATATACTACGATACACTGTAAACATACAAGTTACAATTGTTCTTCTAGACCCTTGTATGTTATTATGTTGAAGTTACAAATGAATGACTTAAAAACTGTTATAATTAGCATTCCTTAGAGTTCTTATTATACATATGTGTATCATGGTAAAAGATTTCATTTCTTGGCAATGAATACTACTACTGCTTGGCTATTTAATCATGCCAGATTTAAAATTCTACAGTAAAATTCAAAGTGTTATCTGTTATACATAGAAAGTCTGGGTAATTCAAATAAACACAATTTTATCTAAAGAGATTGTTTGTGCTGTTTATATTGGACAAAGGGAGCAGGGTGTGACGACACAGCAGGGACTGTCTCAGCGGTATAAAAACTGTGTATCTGTTTTTTATGTAATTGTAAAAACATGGTTAACATAACAAAAATATCGAGGACTAGTTTACTGTACATTTCCTATGCTCATTAAAAATACAATGACTTTCCTGGATGTATATAACAGAAAATTTGTAATTACATTCCCCAACCACAGTGTGCTCAGAAATTATTCGTCACTCTACCAAGTTTTATTTCTGAAAGACTCTTGATCAAACTGCATGTATGGGTCAAGGACTCCCAACAAGATTGTTTTCCAGTATGCCCAGGTCAAGGTCACCATCACTCTTCCCAGTGACTTCATTCCTGCACAGATTAAGTATGAGAAAACCTCAAACAAGTTTGTGCTTCATGGTGCAAAGCCAAGTTTACCATTATTAGTTCACCTGGCCCAAAGGGCCAAGTGAGCTTATGGCATGGTTCCGGCGTCCGGCGTCCGTCTGTCGTCCGTCGGNAGGGGTTCCTCAGACATCGCCTGTAGTAAGATATTAGGAGTTACACCTATAATCAGTCATTAAGGGTGCTGAAACATTTTCTACAGCAAAATTATCAGGAAGCATTCAAACAATCCGAGTCTGTTACCTCTTTCATTACTTTTGAAAATTTTAGCTTTAAATATTTTAGCTGACCTAAATGTTTGGTAGTTATCCCATTTATATGCAATCTTAACTGTGAAAGCAGTAACTAACATCCTGATTGTCTGTTTAGTTCCATGCCAGCATGGAAGGGAAACTGCCACAATACAACACAAGGGTGAAGTTGCCACAGAGAGAACGTGATATGGGATTTGATGGTAAGTCTTTATGACTTTCTATGCCTGCCTATGTATACAGTAGTAATAGCTAAGTCTGTGTGGAAGTATATAACTTATTAACAATGACAATAACTAATAATCTATAACTCAGGTTTTTACCACCAGTGTTTGTATTTAAATGATTGAACAGCCCTATTTATCCTCTTTTGTATAGTGTTTCTTCCTTACATACATCAACATATGTCACTTACTTGGGAATTTCATGACACATGCTCTCTTACCAGATGACGATGATGCGACATACTAATTATCGTAAAACATGACTAACTATCATAAAA